TGAGCAGCGAATGCAGTAGACTAGATTCTGGGAAGTGCAGGTGAAGTGTTACTTCACCTGGAAGGTATGTTTGGGCCCTTGGATACTGGGGAGGGAGGAGGTAAATGGGCAGGTGTTGCACCTTCGCCGGTTACAGGGAAAGGTGCCGTGGGGCTGTGGGGAGGTGTTGGGGGTGAAGGAAGAGTGGACCAGGGTGTCCCAGAGGTAACAGTCCCTGAGGAAGGTGGACAAGGGAGGGGAGGGGAATATGTGTCTGGTGGTGGCATCTCACTGGAGGTGGTGGAAATGGCATCTGATGATCTTCTGGATGTGGATACTGGTGGAATGGCAGGTGAGGATAAGGGGAACCGTGTCGCTGTTGCGGGAGGGAAGAGAAGGGGTGAGGGCGGAGGTGCGGGAGATGGGTTGGACATGGTTGAGGGCCCTATCGACAACGGTGTTCAGGAATCCTCGGTTGAGGACATTTCGGAGGCTCCCTTGTCAAAGTTGGCTTAATTTGAACATATGCGACAGAGATGGAGAAAGTGAGAGAATGGAATGGAGTCTTTATAGGAAGCAGGGTGTGAGGACGTATAGTCCAGGTAGCTGTGGGAGTCGGTGGGTTTATAATGAATATTAGTGGTCCGTCTATCCCCAGAAATGGAAACAGAGATGTCGAGGAAGGGAAGAGAGGAATCAGAGATAGACCAGGTGAAAGTGAGGGCAGAGTGGAAATTGGAGGGGAAATCTTCACCCTCAACAACTTCTCTTTTAACGAGGGTGAAGATGAGCTCAGCCAAGCAGAGGAGGTTGCTGGTGGGTGGGTGGTGTAAAGGGATTGCATGTCTATGGTAAAGAGGAGGTGGCTGGAACCTGCAAACTGGAAGTTTTGAAAGCGGCGTAAAGCGTCAGAGGAAACACGGATGTATGTGGGCAGGGATTGGACCGGGGGGAGAAGACTGAGTCAAGGTAGGAAGAGATGAGTTCTGTGGGGCAGGAGCAGGCTGAAACAATGGGTCTCCCCAGACAGTCCTGTTTGTAGATTTGTAGAAATGTGTAGGGCTGGGAGACTATCAGCTTGGAGGCAGTGGGGAGGAGGTCATCAGATGAAATGAGATCAGTTACCATAGTTGATACAATGATCTGATTGGTGGGGTCATGGTCCAGGGGATGATAGAACGAGGTATCTGAGAGCTGGTGCTGAGCCTCTGCAATGTAGAGGTC